TTTTTTCTGTGTCAATATAGGACAAGTCCCTCCAGACGTATCAAAGAGGACTATGCAAAGGGTATTATTACCTTGTTCCCTTACCTGGCTGATCCTAAGAGCAGATTTGGCTATGTAAGTTCAAAACAGAAGTCCAACTTGTTGGCTATGGTTTGAGTAGAACTGAAAATGTTTCTCTGTTGCATCCCCTGCATCTGTGCCACTTGTTTTTAACTTTCCAATTTTAAAACTTTTGTAGAGTTTATTGTTCCAGTGTTGACCTACTGCAGCTTGAAGAATAAACATTGTGAAGAGATTTTATTTATGTAATTCAAACAATGGGAACTAAAATCTGTAAATCATAGCTACTATCATTCACGGTTGTCTTTACTTTCGCAGCTTTAAAAACATTTATCATTCACCTACTTTTAGGAGCATTATTACAATGCAGAAGATGGGAGTGGGTATCTGGCTTGGAGACTGAAGTTTGTCCAGAGGGAAGCTTCTAATGGACAAAAGAAGGTCCCCAGACTGTCACAAACCCAAACAGGTATGTGTATTTATACTTGTACAAATTTTATCCTACAACCAAACTGCACAATAGGTTCCCAAGCCTTATTTATTAAATCCTAAGATCGAGTGTCCCATTCATATAATGTTTTTTTAGGGGGACCAACAACTGACAGAGACTGTTTGAGAGAAGAAGACTGCCTTTTGACAGACAGCTTGTGTTCTGAAGCCATTGCGCTGATGAAGCACACAACTGATGAAGGAACTGTAATGAGGAAGATGAAACAGACTTTCAACTATCGCCAGAAGATGATTCATGACCCAGTGAAGTCACCTGGTATCTTTTTGGACTTCCCAAGATTCCTGGACATGGGAGGATTGGTATGCTTATCTTCACTTCAGCTTAACCTATTTTTATAAAGTTTAAATTGAGGTGGGCGTGAGAAAGTTTAACAAAATGATTTTTAAAACCTTCATCTCTTCTCCAGGTTGAGCAAGATTTTACATTGATGTTTGGGGAAGCCATCTCTGCAAAATTCCTGGAGAAGTGGCCCACTGTCTACAAGCAGAAAGTCCTCGAACAAAGCCGTGGTCTCACACAGTCTGATGACCTTGAGAACCTTCTTCACAATGCTGAAGGCACAACAGAGGTGCAAAATGGTAAGTTGGACTGGATTATAAAGACGGTGTTTAATGTAACATAATTTTATGTAAATTGATTCAATATAAGTGCGCCTCCTTCTGCCGTCACTGTTTGGTAAGCTTCCTCTGGAAGTGTTAACACGGTTGCAAAGAAGTTCTGTTAGCTTATGTTTATTTCATCTTTTCTTCCAGGATGGGACAGTGACATGTCATCCATTCTGATTCTTGTGCACCTCCTGCCACCGTCACCTCATGGCCGGAAGAGACCAGGAAAACTCTCAGCCAGAGCAGCCATTGAACATCTTGTGAAGTTTGTCAAGGTAAGGTTACAGCTAAGGGAATATTTATGTTGATCAAAATTCCCTATTCTTCACTTATTTTTATTTATTTGTATTTTTTGTGAAGTTGGTCTGAAATTTCATTTCAAGTAACATTAAAGAGGTCCTGAAAAGTAATTTGCCTTAACTATAAGAACCCTGTTTTCTTTGAAACCCAAGACTAATCATGTTTTATTCTGTTTTTACCACAGACAGGAACCAGCATCCAGGGGCACCTTG